CCATATGAGTGTCTAATTCATAGGGGAAAGAAGGATTTTCAAGTTGCACTAATGCATGCTTACGTGGGATAATAACCAGCCTTGAGAGTCATAGGCTTGTGTGTTTTTTCTCTCACGTACTGATCTTTATAATTAGCCCCACCGTTTAACTTATCCTATTAACCTAATATCCGATTATCAGAACGCTGGTTGGCTAAGATTGTAGAATGCTGACTGTTGAATCCTACCAAATCCACGAACTGAACAGGAACGTTGTTGGTATGACACTTGTAGTTTCCCGTTGCTATACAGGGCCGAATTGCTCGACCTCTATGCGGAGGCCTCGATACTGCAGACTATTCACGGTGTTGTGTGGATCTCAGTGACTAGCATAAGGATCCAGGACGCGCGGTTCGTCCTGTTTGGGAATCGTCAAGTGAGTGGTGTCGCCCCCCCCCCGAGGCTCGAACCCAGTGACCTTCGCTCCAAACGCCAGAGCATTATCCATCAAGGCATGATAGCCACCTCTTTTGCAATGGGTATCAATTGTTGTTATGACAACTGTAATTTCCTGTTGCTATACAGGGCCAAATTGCTCAACCAGGAACAAGCTGGCTGCAAGATTTGCAGCTATTGAGTCTGCCTCCCGCTTTGAAAAGACCACTCAACAGACTACATTTTTGCTGCTTAATCTTCAATAAGCCAATAGCGAGTTCAGTTTAAATGCTTCTGTGCAGTCAGCTAAACATGGTTTAAGGAATATATACAGTGAGGGCTATAGGGATTTCAAACAACTAAAGATCCCCATAATATTTATAAAAAGCAACAATCTGAACGAAGAATATTCTTTTCAATAAATTCTCTTCAGGTTCTACAATTATAAAATGGAATTGTACAGCGTAAAGCCAAGCCATGTTATGGGAAGTTTCGTTTTCAAAATGGAGTGAGATTTAGGGATTGTAAAGAAATCGACTTATCCCTTTTAAATTAGTCAATATTGGGATTATACAAATACATAAGAATGATATGATGGTGAAACAAAAAGATAACGAATAAGATGGCTAGAGTAGCCTTCAGTTTGCTGAAGGCCAAGGGAGAAGTGACACTTCGACATGTTCTTTCTGAAAGGAGAGTTCAGGTTTGATCAATCTTATTGCGACAGCCTGCGCTATGTTGAGTATGCATTGGCGAGCTACACATGGTGTCGTTTTCGGAACACGATGAATGAAAGCTTTATTATCATCTGTGATGCCCTGTATCGATTAGATGCGCTAGGACTAAACTTCTAACCACTTCCATTTTGGTCTTTCAGAACCAAGCTCGTAAATGTTCTTGTATCCGGAGACCCACCTGCCTAATAGTAGGCTCTATGTAACTAGTTCCACAGGAACAGTTAGATTAATATATGCAAGATGAAGAGCTAAGATTAGGTAGCCTATCCTTTAATCTCAGGTCGAGCATTGGCTAACTACTGAATGATATCCAAAGTAGACCTCCATAACACGTCCTATTGACTGCTCTCGCTAGGCATTGCGATAGAATGTCACTATAGGCTGAACCTTTGTATTTGAAATATAAGGTTGCACAGCCTGTCTCTTTACTCTAGTTATCCACATAACCTTATCTAATATTCACCCACCACCTCTCTCTGTCTTATAATTTTCTCCTTCTTTGTCTTTTATTGTTCTTCTGTATCTAGCGTCAACAATTAACCATACTTATTCATCGTTATTATGGATTACCATTATTATTCAGTTTTCCAATTAAGCCACAACCTGTAATTTCACGGTGCATAGTTACTCGCCAACGTTGTATCAAATAACCAGGTTACTATCTGGGAAGAGATCAATACAGATGAGACCAATAAAAGATGAAGAAGGAAATATAATTACCAGAGGAGAGAAACAAAGGAAACAATGGGCTGACCACTTCAAAAAGCTCTTGAATCGACCACCACCACCACCTGCACTTCGTCCAGAAATACCACCTGCAGTCCAGCCGCTGAACTACAAGTGAACATAAATCCCCCAACAAAAAATGGAAGTCCTGAACGCCATAAAGCTACTGAAATATGGGAAAGCAGCAGGACCAGATGGAATCCCACAAGAAGCACTGAGAACAGACGCAGAGACAACAGTGGACATGCTCACACCACACCAATATTGCAGAAGGTGTGGAAGGAAGAGAAGGTACCCGGCGATTGGAAGAAGGGTTACCTTGTCAAACTGCCGAAGAAAGGAGACCTCAGTGTTTGCAAGAACTGGCGAGGAATCACTCTCCTGTCCACCCAATGCAAGCAAAATATTAAGCCGCATCATCTTGGAGAGACTAAAGGATGCACTGGATTCAAAACTACGACCGAAACAGGCTGGCTGGCTGGATTCAGGAAGTACAAATCATGTGCGGACCAAATCGTAACGCTACACTACGCATCATCATAAAACAGAGCATAGAATGGCAATCAGCTCTCTACCTCAACATTATCGACTTTGAGAAGGCCTTTGACAGCATCGACCGAGAGGTAATTTGGAAACTGCTTCAATACTACGGAATACAACAAACCTTTATCAGCCTCATTCAACAACTAGCTATATGAAGACGCCACATGCCGGCCAAGTAATTCACAATCGGAAGCTCAGTGACGCCTTCGAAGTCAACACAGGAGTAAAACAAGGCTGCCTACTATCAACCATGATATTCCTGATTGTGGTCGACTAGACTGGATCATGCAACAAACAGTGAGGAGCGAGAAGAGGGGGATATGCTGGCTGGACTGCGGAAAACAACCTAGAAGATCTGGATTTCGCCAACGATGACTTGTGCCTCATGTCACACAAACTGGAAGATCTACAGACGAAAACTAACAAGTTGACAGAAAAGTCAATGCAGGGCAGCGAAGATGGGACTTCAAGTGAATATAGAGAAAACAGAGGTGATGAAGATACTCAAACACCAACACCACCACCAACAACAACAACAACAAGCTCCAATCACCATCACCATGAACGGGAGAAACTTAAAGGAAGTAGCCTCCTTCACCTACACCTATCTAGGCAGCAAGCACTGTTTCAACTACAGGTGGAATAGGCACAGACGAGGACGCCAAAGCCAACCAGGGTCGGAAAGACAGCAAGACAGGCATTCATTAACCTGAAACCAGTGTGGAAATCTTCTCCACTCCACTCAGCATGTGGAACAACATTCGGATTTTAAATACCAATTCAGTCAAGTCAGTGATTCTGTGTGATGTTTGGGAGACTTGGCGGTGCGTTACGAAAGGCAATTCCAACAAACTACAGACATTCATCAACAACTGCCACCCACACTGGCTCGTTACTCAAGATCAGATGGATTGCCAGAAATAATAAGCAACAAGGAACTCTGGGTGGATGGTTGGTGGCGAACCAACCAAGAACCTATCACCCAACAAATATGCACTGGGAGGAAGTGGAGATGGATTGGACTGGGCATACACTGAGAAGGCCGACTAGAAACACCACGCGTCAGGCCAGGCACTCGAGTGGAACCCCCATGGGAAGCGACGAGTTGGGCGTCCGTTGTGAGGGTGACATGGAGGAGATTGTGGGAGGAGGAAATGAGAGGTTGTGGGCTGTCGTGGAGCCAGGTTCAAAAGATTTCAGAGAACAGAGCGGAGTGGAGTGGAGACGTGCTACTGAATCCCTATGTTCCACTTGGAACCCAAGGGACAAATAATAATATAATTACTCGCCAGTCCTCATGAATGATATGTTTCAAAATGAAATGTTCTGAAGTTCTAATGAGATGTCGCGACCGATGGGTTAAGCCAAATCGGACATGAGAAGAGGTACTCAGCGATAGCATTAAAGATCACGTTGTATTGCAAATTGACAGGAGTAGAAAAGTATTGAATACTGGATGACCTGGTAGTCCTGAGTCCGACCCCTGACATGGTCTAGGCATGCACTGTTGAGGTATTCCACACTAAGATGGAACGGTTACTCACTGTTCCCAGGGTTTTCAATGGTTCCCCAACTGATGTCAGTTATTAGTAAATATCAATATGGAAGTCAGTAAATCTCCACAAACCTCCAAACTGAATACAGTTATTCTGTTCTTTTCCCAACTGCTTTTTCAGCTTACATGTTTAAATTTCCCCCGCCTTATCAATAACTCCTGATTGCTTAAATTGCCACTACCACATTAGTTTGTTATGTTGTATTGATAAAAGGAACGCACATATTGAGGCTTAAAGTAACTATTACTGGTAAAATGATGGAGAGTGGCTAGCAAGGAACCCAGCATGCGTATTTCGCCTTATTTGGGACTCATCAGTTGGTTACAACTACCTCCTGATGACCTCTGTCATCCCCACTAACACCCGAACCCAGTACCCGTCGCTTCAAATACCAGAATGTTACCACTGAGTCACGATATCCACTATTTGTGCAATGTCCTGTTCAATATTCCAGAAAAACAATTTCATAGCAAAGATATTAATCCACTAACACTAAAACGCTATAAAACCACAATTGGAGATTCTTTACTTCATTGCTTCGAGGGTGATCTTTCGATATTAATGATGGAGAGTGGCTAGTAGTGGAAGCCAGGATGCGCATTTCCTCCTGTTTGGGACTCGTCAGCTGGATGTACCTGCCTCCCAGTGAGTTACGTTGTTCCCACTGGGATTCGGACTCGGGAGCGATCGCTTCAAACGCCAGAGCGTTATCCACTGAGCCACGATAGCCACTTCTTGTGCGACTTGTATAGTTTTAGCATAATTGTTTTCATACTATACCGTCGTGGATTGGACCGAATTGATTGAAATGCGCATTTTGGATTCCACTGCTAGCCACTATCCATCATTAATGTAATTAGAATACATGTAATATCGAGGCATCCGCGAAGGAGCCCATAAGCCAATAGAGACCAATCCAATCAACGACGGTATAATATAAAAACAATTATACTAATCTTTCGATAGCCTGCGCGTAATCCGTCTCTTCTCTAGTCAATTATTCCCAATGAACTGAAGGATAATCGAAGACTATGAAATTTTATTGCTGTTTCTTTTGTGTGAACTTTTTAACATTATAGAAAACGAAGAGAGAAAAAGAAACTGTAAGAGTGAAATCGACTGTTGAGAATCACCATAGTAACAATTAAATAATGTTTGATACATATCATACACATACATGCACTCACTACACACACACGCATACATGTTTGTGTGTAAATATGATAAACGTAGAAAAGAGAGACGAAAGAGACTAAATAGATCACTAATCCCAGCTGAAAATTTAAAGGTCACTCAAAAATATTATAAGTTAGTGAATGAATGAATAATAAAAATGTAACAGTAAATAAATAAGTATATGTGAATACAATTGTTCACGCCTTAACAAGCTACAGAAGAAAAACTTGTGCAGTGAAAATAATAACTAAAACATAGAAAGCGTTACGAGGAATTGGGGTAACGATAAAGGGAAAAAAGCCTAATTATTGGGGGATTTTACATGTCTGTCTGCTTACTTATGTGTCCGTATTGTACCTGTCACTGCATCCAATCCATTGAGAAGAAGAATTGTCATCATACACATGGACTAGGATATGCATAATAATTTGATCGATACATATGTGTACGTGTGCATGTCTGTACACTTTCGAATTGATGCGTATATGTCTGTGTGTAGTAAGAATAATTGTGAGATGATTTCACAACAGATTGTGAGAAGGAGAATGTACTACACACAGAAAAAAAGGCATTTTAAATGCTGAAACTGAATAAAATCAGATCAGTTATTACATTTTTTTTCTGATGAATATTGTTTGTCTGATTCCATTTTATCAAAGAAACACATATACATGCATAGTTGTATCCACTTTTATGTGGTCTTTTCCTCAACAAACAGAACTAAGATGCATTTCTCCCACGGATTAGGTAAACAATAGGACGCAACTTTATCTATGACATATCCTTGTGCATAGAAATTGATTAAACAAATAGGCGCTCAAAGCAAAACAAAACAGAGCAATATATGAAGTGGAACAAAGCATATTGTACACACGTTGGCAGAAGATTGTATTTTACAAGTATATTCTGTTATATATATATAAGATGCATTTGCTTACTATGAAATAAACAAATATATGTGAGTGTCAAGGCCATAGACATGTATGAAAGAAAACATTTCATTCGAGTTTTTCTGAAGAGAAGAAACACACAGTAACGATGATGATGTTGATGATAAAAATAACAGTAGTCAAAGAGAACCAGCAAGAAAGAATTATAAAGTCACAACTTAATAAACAAAAAGAAGTGAAGCCGAGTTAGTAACAGCAAGAAAGGAATACACTTTCTTCTCTACACTGGACTAGTTATAAACAAATAGCTAATCTTGATCAAACTATTGTGGTATTTATTCAGATTCTACACTCTAAGTTGTAGGTCACAACAAGAATTTCTTTCTTGTTCACATCTTTTGTATATTTAGTTGAAGTGCACATACATGGAAAATATTTGATTTACAACAGATGCTAGGATTACTTCCTCACAGGAAAAGGGAGAGGAACGGAAACAAACAAAGATATCCATTACTATGTCTGGTATAGAGAGTTTATTAGTAGGTATATATGTATATTGTATAAAGTATTATAATTACTGAAAGACAAATCTGTGACATAAAATATATGGGAAACCAAAAGTGAACTACTTCGTAGACTGAATAAAATTAAGGAAACTGACTACCACCAAATGTTGATGACGATGAGGATAACTGTGTACCTGGATTCGTATACTGCATCAAATAAGCTGTTGGGAAGAGGGCGGGAGGAAGAAAAAATAAAAATACATCATTACTTTTTTTGTCTCTCTTATCCAATGATATTTAAAGAATAATCGAAACACAAATAATTGATACGTTTACAGTAATGAAATCGGAACACATCAATACGTTCTTGGCACATATAAATTCAGTTTATCCAATTTACCTGTGACTTAGAAAGTGAAGAAGGTGAGCTAGGAATGTTGAATTGCAAGATTAAACAAACACAAGAAGAAAATCTAGAGACTAGTGTCTATAGGATACCTATCCATTCGAATCGCTACTTAGACTTCGAATCATCCCATCCCATTCCAGTTAAAGTAAACCTAGTTGAATGCTTAAGTGATAGAGCGAAAAAGCTTACTTGTAGATAGGAAAATCTGCGACAAGAAATTAGACACATCAAGAATATCATGCATCTCAATAACTACCCACCAAAATTTATGAATAAATTCATAAGAAACCGAAAGAAAAATACCTGTAGTAATACAGGTGTTATTAATAATAACCCTACTACTACTGGTAATACTGGTGACAGGGTTGAAAGAGAATTCAAAGCCTCTGTTGTGTTACCATACAAGGAAGACAGCTCAGAAGCATTACGAAGAATTCTCAATAAGGCTGGGATTAAAGTGGCATTAAAACCAACAACCAAGCTTTTCAGGTTAAAAGATCCTATCGATGCAATTGAGTAGAATAATTTAGTTTACCAAATCCCTTGCAATGATTGCAAAGTCAAAGTAGCCGACCTGGGTGAGCACAAAAACTTAGCTAAATCAAGATTATTAGGTCCTAATAAGATAAGAAATTTAGAGAAAAGCTCGAGTATAGCACTGCACGCAATTACACACAGTAGGGTGGGATAGGGCTACAGTGTTGAAAACTAACTTAGTTGGGTGGAGGGAGAGATTGATAACCGAATCTGCGTTTATCGAATCAACACCAAATATATGCAGCAATAAAAATATTCCTGCACCTGCCTAAGATCTATGTGGAAAATTCTACTACACATGTCATCACAAAAAAGGAGAGAAAATTAGGGTTATATAAACTCTCTCTCGACGTTGCGGAGTCACCTGATATCAATATGGACAATAAAATGTGTCCGAAACTTTATCCAGTAAATGATACTGTTTCACTCTGTGATATTCAGAATAAACAGACTAAAATGGAATAAACGATTGCCATTGCTTATAGTTTATTCTGTCCAGGAACCTCGTCTAGTTAACTAGTTACTAGCAGGTCCAAGCCCGGATAAAAGGGAAAGGTTGGGCCTACGGCTAACAACCGTACCCCCTAAAACGAATCCAATCGTTAAACAAACTTCAAAACACAAAGAAAATATAAAAAATAAACTTATTCCTCGCTGGAATCGGAGCAGACGAAATGACACCAGTCCGTGAAAGACTTCGGGAAGTTAATTGGTCGATGTGTCTTCTCTCTCTCTCTCTCTCTTGATGAAAGTGAAAGTAAACATAGGCACATGGAATCCCCACAAATGTTTGAAGCTGGCTAGCTAGCTGGTCAAGCTGTCCAGATTGCAAAAGAGATAAGAAGGTATGGCACAGATATACTCGGCTAAGAATCTGAGAAAGCAGATCAAATGGAAGTGGACTCTCCAAACTGTCAACTGAACAGCAGTCAATAATCTACTCCGATATTCTCACCCAAACGACAACCACGAATGAGCACACTGAGTTTTCAAATGACTATCATGACGTCCCAAACGGCATCAAAGGCTCTCATGAAATGGGAACCAACCTCGTCATGCAGGGTCACGACCATAACAGCAAGATTCAACTCAAAAGAAAGGAAAGTCAAAATCATACAACGCCACGCCACACACCTACAAATTATGCAGATCAAGAGAAGGAGGAGCAATTCTACAGACAACTCCAATCAGTACTCGACAAGACTCACCCCAACTGGCCACATCAAAATCCTTTCTAATCGGTGGGTGACATGAATGCCAAACTCCGAGCGGACAACACACGAAGAGAACTCATCCTGGATCGACAGGCACTCGGTGAAATGATGAGGGAGAATAAGGAACTGTTTGCAGACTTCTGCGAATTCCACCATTTGGTGATTCCAGTCAGGTAGTGTGTACAAACACAAGGTCACTCACAAAGCCACATGGATTTCATTTCACCATTCAACAGATCGACACACTACACTAAATATCAATCACATCAACTTCAGCTCAATATCAAGAAAGTGGAGACACACACAATCTACTGGACACAAGATCACATCAACAAGCAAAGCAGATGTAGGTTCACACCATTCACCATCTAGTGAAACGAACCTACCTGCAAAACCAAGTTGAAAGACTTCAAAGAAGTTCGTGATGATAGACCACACTTCAAGTCAAACACCCAGAATAGAAACTGAACTGAAGGACGAAACTACAAACGACATCTTCATGTCGTCAGTCTTCAGGAAACAATCGCACACATTAAGCAACATACCTGAAGAAATCCACGTGGAAGAACACTAGAACTCTGTGAGAGAGATGTGCAAGGAAACCTGCACAACCGTCTCAGGGAGGAAGAAGAAGCGAGACGAGACGAGACAAGCAGTAGGTCTCTACGCATACATGGAAGCTGGTACAGCAGGGAGAAAAAGGTGGGGAAGCAGAAAATGAACCAGTCTAGTACAGGAATGAACAACGAAAAGAGGAAATGAACACAACCTATGCAGCACTAACTGCACAATGAAGTGAAGAGTGAGCGCAAACACAAAAAACACTTCTACGACACATTGACAACTTAAGCAGAACAGGCTGCAGGTAGGAGAGACAGGGACCTGATAACACTATATCAAATAACCAGGTCACTCACTGTCTATCTGGGAGGGAAGAGATCAACACAGATGAAACCAATGAAAGATGGTGAAGGGAACCTAGTTACCACCAAAGAGGAGAAACCAAGGAAACGATGGGCTGACCACTTCAGAAAACTCTTCAGTCGACAACCACATGCCACAGAACTACCAGTGAACACAAACCCTCAGACAAAAGCAGAAGTCCTCAACGCCACGCCATAAAGTTGATGAAATCCGTGAAACCAGCAGGACCACGTGCAATTCCTCCAGAAGCACTGAAAACAGGTGCAGAGACACCAGCTGCGGACATGCTCATACCACACCACTGTTGCAGAAGGTTTGCAAGGAAGGAAGGAAGGAAAGGTACCTGTCCATTGATTGAAAGAAGATCTACCTTGTCAAACTCCCAAACAAGGGAGACCTAAGTCTTTGCAAGAACTGGCGAGGAATCATGCTCCTATCACTGTCCACCCCAAGCAAGCAAAGTATTAGGCCGTATCACTCTGGAGAGACTAAAAGTGCTCTGGATTCAAAACTAAGACCGGAACAGGCTGGCTGGCTTCAGGAAGAACAAATCATGTCCAGATCGAATTGCAACACTACGCAACACATCATCATGGAACAGAGAATAGAATGACAAACAACTGCATCTTTGCCTCAACTTCATCCACTTTGAAAAAGCCTTCGATAGCGTCGACCGACAAGTAATTTGACAGGCTGATGCTTCAACACTACACTTTTAGTACCACAAACATTTATCAACCTCATTCAACAGCTATGTGACAAGGCTACATACCAAGTGTGATTGACAATGGAAAGCTACTCAGTGATGCCTTTGAAGTGAAGACAGGGGACAGGAGTTAAACAAGGTTGCCAACTACTATCATCACCGATCATCTTCCTGATTGTAGTCGACTCAACTGAACTGCACTGCACTGGATCATGTAAGAAACTGTGAGAAGGAAGAAGAGAGGCATAGGCTGGCTGGCTGGCTGGCTGGCTGGCTGGCTGGCTGGCTGGCTGGCTGGCTGGCTGGCTGGCTGGCTGGCTGGCTGGCTGGCTGGCTGGCTGGCTGGCTGGCTGGCTGGCTGGCTGGCTGGCTGGCTGGCTGGCTGGCTGGCTGGCTGGCTTGCAACGAACCAACCAAGAACCCATCGTCCAACAAATATGGGGAAGAAGAAAGTGAAGATAGATTGGATTGGATTGGACATACACTGAGAAGACCAATTGAGGACATAATGCACGAGGTAAGGCCTTCGAGTGGAACTGGAATGGGAAATGACAAGTTGGACGTCCGTTGTGATGGTGACATGGAGGAGATCATGTGAGGAAGAAATGAAAGGTTGTGTGCAGTGATGGAGCCAGGTTAAAAGAGAAGACTGGAGAGAAGAGAGTGCAATGAAGACGTGCTACTGAAGCCCTATGTTCCATCAGGAACCCAAAGGACAAATAATAATCATATTAGTCCAGGAGTTGGCATCGAATGTCACCACCCATGTTTTTAATCAGATAGAAAGCACCTGTAGCTCAGTAGTTTGGGGAGATATCTATCAACCGTCGGGTCATGGCTTCGAGCCCTGCTCCATCTACCTAGGTTTCGGAAGCCAAGCAGTATCATTAGCCTTCACACAGTAGGTGCGGTTCATTGCTCACATTATACAAGGATGTGCACAAGGTGGTTGAGTGAATCTCAGACAAGTATCATCGATCGTATTATCCTATTTATTTTGCAATACATTTTATTTATAAGTTGATTAGTAGCCTTATAGTATAGCTCGATTCAAGAGCCTTCAACTGACTCATCATCTACTTATGTACGAACTTAGGCTCGGAAATAATCACTGCATATTAAATGAAATCCCACTGTATTCTTATTTCTGGTTATCAGAATGATAATCAATATGCTCCCGCTATCTAATTTCAAGTAGAGCTGGGATGAGAAGTTCTGATTGGGCAGTCAGCGTGAGTACGATCAAATGGTAGTAACGTGTCACGAATTCGCATGGCAGTCGAGCAAAACCCTTGGTGATTAAAGTGAAATAAAAATCTGGTCAGTAGTCGGGTCTCAAGCGCCGGAACGGAAACTCGATGGTCGCTGATTCGGGTCCTACCATTGCTCAGATTTTCATTCCACCTTCAATCACTTCATAGTATCAAGATTGTATTCTGTTGCAAAACGATTCGAAGGCCTGAATTGAGTGACATCGTGTGGGTGGGTGACTTGAGTATATGAACTGAATATTTTATGATTCTACACATAGGTAAGGTGTGATTTTATTTTTCATAGACAGAAAAAAAATCCAGTAAAATCAATAGTATTCATCCTACTACTACTGCTACTAGTAGTAGAGAAGAGTTTGCACACTCACCTGCAGAAAGTTTCAATGGGTCTAATCTTTCAGGAAGTAAAGGCATATTAGGTGATGCAAAATTTCGTACAGGAAGATTAGATCCTAAATTTTGAAATAATTGTGGATTAAAAAATCGTGGATTGTTAACTCCATCCAATAATGGTGTACATGGTGAAGATGAAGAATTAGAAGGAATTGATGTGTTTAACGTTGTGGATGAATTATGCGCCTTAGGAATATTAATCATTGGACTATTATTAGTAGTAGTATTATTATTGTCCGTAGCACGTGAAAAGTTAACCAATGGTGAATTCATTGAAAGCGTCGAGGAATGCTGCTGATGCATATATGATCTAAAAGCTTCAGGTATACAAGAATAAGGTGATGATGCACTGGAGGTTAGTGTACTCAGTGCAGCAACTAAAAAGTCTGGTATACCATAATATATACTATTAGGATCCATAATCTGATTTGTTGAAGTAGTTATACTTGTCCCAGGTAGATGACCTGTTGGAATGAAATGCTTAGAGTCGATTAGTTGAGGTGCTGACAGTTCACGATGATTTATCGCTTCATTTGTTGATGTGAAGTTACAAGAGTTGGAATATGTAGGTAGATGAGATGAACCACCGTTAGCTAATGAATTGCCTGTAGATTTTTGATCATAATCTTTAATAGAGGATGGTAATGGCATAGAATGTGTGGATGGAATTTGAAAATTCCAGGCATTTTGAAGATTTGGCATCAGATTGCTACCAGCACTACTATTGTTACTATTCCCACAAAGACCACGGCTTAATTCATTAGATATTGTATAGTTTGCTTCTGAGATAGCAGTTGAACTCTTGAACCTTGGAGAAGAAGAACTAGCTATATTCGGGGCTACGTGACACATCGGTAAACTCATAGAATCATTAACCTCCTTACTATTGTTGTGCTCGTGTACACGACTACCAGGAAGACCGGAATAACGTGAATAATTCGTAGTCGGCATCATCATCATCGTCATAGTACTATCTGTCTTCGTATTTTGATTAGAACTTTTACTGGATGATTGATGAGACGACTTATGCTTACTCAAATCACGTGGATTTGATGACAAACTTCGCTTAGAGGAGAAAGATGATTGATTATTATTATTACTATTATTATTATTATTATTATTGGTGCTGTTGTTATTAGGTCGTAAATTTGAATTGTTTCCACACTCCAAAGAACCATGTGGTACTGAGACTGTATGTGCTGTAACCGTACGAACATTACTCCCTGTGGAATTGATCTCATTCATAAAGGGATTATTAGTGCATAACACTGAAGTAGATAAACGCTTTTTACTGGAAGGATATTTATTGATTTCACTGATCTGTCCACTAATTGAATGGCCTAAACTTTTGTTAGTATTATTACCATTATTATTATTATCATTATTACTATTATCATTATTGTTAATACCGGTTGTTAAGTCTCTAGGTAGATTTGTATCCATAAATTTATGCTCATTAGTATCATCCAATAGCTTGTAATTATGATTGAACATGTTCGATGGTTGGATAGAAGTTCTTTCTTGTTCATATTCACATTGTCGGTGATAACGAGGATTAGAATGACTATCGTGGTGGTGTTCATCATACTGACGACTTTGTTGCTCTGGCTGTTGCGGCTGTGATTGTGGAGTCGGGTGTGCAAGTGACTCATTATTCAACGATGGTTGTAGTGATTGTTTATTATCTGATGAAGATGTTATTGTATGTGCAACCGGTGAACCAGGACTAGAAGGACACAATGGTGAAATACTCGGAGGAGATTTCATCTGAATTGAATCACAATTCTTCTGTATACAATTATCAAAGTCTTGATTGGAATCAACATTGGAGGCACGTTTCTTATTTCCACCAGGTAGATTATCATGAGGTGTATGATTCAGATGAAAACGTAAGGCTAGCACATGAGAGAAGCGTTTTTTACAACCATCAATTGGACAGCATATTGGAAAGGTGTCGTGTAATTCATCGCTTGTAGAGTTCTCTTCAGAATATTGTGGATTACTATTGTTATTACAACTGTTGTTGGCACTGTTTGAGCACAGTGGTGTCTGTGGTCGGGAATGATCAGGTCTTTGTGAATCCATCATTACTTGATCAGATGTGCTGCCTGATTTACATGGAACATCTCCTAATTCAGAAGACTTTTCAAGATCTGGTAGTACTTCAGATGGACAATCACTTGATGATGTGCTACTTCCTCGGAAAAGTTTACGACTTTTGTGAAGTTTTGTATTTCGATTAGAGTTACGCGAAATTTCTTCATCAGATCTTTGAGGAAGACACTGGATCAGATCTGTATCACCGGATACAGAGTCTCCAGTTGTCTCTTTACTGGTGTCAGTTTTTGTTAAATTTATCATTTGTTGTTGTGTATTTGGTCGAGTGGTTGAAATTGTCTCAGGCATAACTGCTAGTGAATTGGAAGCTCGACCACGTAGCCGATGTCTTGCTACTGCCGATGACGATGACGATCCAGACTTCCAACTACACTCAGCCATATGACTTCCTAAATTTGACTTGTAATTCGATCCAACACCTGTTCGACGTTTTGTGCGATTGCTAGATCTGATTGAAGATTTGAAAGGCGGTACATAATCTCGTGGACTAGATAAGAAAAGAGTAGAAAAAGAAACTTTTACAAACGAGTGGATAATAAATTCCTATCAAACGATATAAACATAGTGAAACAGATGTGGCGCCAGTGTAATTCAAATTCAAACAAACAACATGGAGGTTAGATAGTTAGACAAAAACATTAAAACTCTCAGACATGGATATACATTTGGTTGACAAGTTTTAAGCAGGACAAAGCGCTACTTACCGAAAACTATATCACCAATAGACTCCCAAAATCACTTTACTCAGTCAATGTTCTACAACAGTAATGATATCAGTTTTGATGAATCCTTAGACAAAAATTTTGAAGGTGCTACCACTCAAAAATTTCACAGTTTTAAATATTCGATTATCAGTGGATTACTTTGCAATAGACTGAAGTGACGATGTTTTACACACCAAAGATTGATAGGTGTTTCTTTTTTCTTTAGATGGATAGTATACACTACTGAATTGCATATTTAAGTCTTAATGAGATTACTGAGATATTGTCAGTATCTATACCAAGATTTTATCAGTAATTAATTCATCCAAATAGATTCGACTAGAAGAGATAGTTGATGTGTTTTGACTAAGATATCATTTATCTATCTATAGTCTATTTGGTGGCTAGCAGTGGAATCCTAGACATGTGAGTTTCGTCCCTTTTTCGGACTCGTCAGCTAGATGTGTACACCTTCCACCTCAATGAGAGTGATATTGTTCCCACTGGCACTCAAATTCAAAATTCATTGCTTCAAATAACAAGACGTTATCCACTGAAGCAGAAAAGTCACTATTTGTTGTTTATTGATACTTGTAATTTCCCGTTGCTATACTGGGTCGAAGTGATTAAGTTCAACCTAATAATAAAAACTACACTCAAGTCTTAAAAAAAATTGAATCAAAATCCGAATCTATTCAATGAATTCTGCTGAACTAAAACATGTAACACAAAAACTAGAGACAATTCTATTGTGGTTTACTACTAGTTTACCCAGCTAGATACTTTCCATAACTTTATAAATATTCGTCAAAATAGGAAGATCAATATTAGTAGTAGATCATCAATTCCTTCTCATTCCTTTCCACTTTTTATACTCGCAAATGGTCAGTGAACATTGTCTAGGCGGCTTTTAGTTGATCTAAGGGCTTACCATCTCTTTTGTTGGCAGATAGTTTATAAAACTCTTTGAAATAAATTGCTTTATTATTCATTGATCTTGAAGGTCACTGTCACACACTTCATTGTCTCTCTCCTCAAACCTTTTTTGTGGTAGTTCAGTACATTGGCTACCAGGATACATCAGAATATCACATTGTATGCTATAGATCCGTGACCTAGGCTATGCATTACACCTGTCCCTAGGGTCTAAACAGAGACGGATGAACTGTAGTGCCAAAACTTAGCTCAGCAGTTTTAAGTTAACTACCTTAGACCAATAAGACTAAAGCATCACTGGCAATAACTAAAATAAGCATACCTTTATTCGAAACAAATACCAGAACATCGATTTCACTTCAAACTAGTGTATTCACTTACCATGGAGGTGCAAAATCATGTTGTGTTGCATCCAGCAGTGTACCGATATACGTTCGACCTCTCCATGTCACATTGACTACTAAAACTCCTAGAAATAAGAATAAATAAATAAAATAAGTTATGCAATCTTCTTGTATGATAAATATCATTTGTTCATCACATATAAATTAAGTTTATAAGTCAAAGTAGCTCTTAGATTAGATTTCATGTTTCTTGGTATGCATCAGTACGGCGCATCTGCAATCTAGAGAAGATCCATATTGGGAATATGAACCGGCATCATTCTTTTTTGATGCTAGATAAAGCATGCTGTTAACATATTTAGGTTGTAACTTGTGCTCACTGTGAGAAACATTGGAAACCTGGGAGCACTGTATAGCCGTTTCATCCTAGTATGGGACTCCTCAGCAGTACACACTCATGGCTCCACACTGCCAGGAACCGAACCCAGCGCCTTCAAGTTCCGTGGCCAGCACGTTTCAATTCACCACTGGGTTGGAATCCAGTGGTCCCCATTTCCTACTTCCGTCAGCTCATGATATAGCACTACCTTTATTCATTGTTGTCGTTGGGTATCTGTCCTCATATTCGACTTCGCTGGTCCCACCGGTCACGACTTCTGAACTGACAGAAGTAGGAAATATGGATCGTTTGATTCCGAACCAGTGACACAACCGTAACGTGCTGGCCGCAGGACCTGAAGGTCATGGGTGCACATTGTTGAGCAGTCCCACATCTGCCTAGCGTTCCCAGGTTTCCAATTTTCCTCCAACTGATATCGGTCTATGATGAATACCAACCAGGAACTTTAATATCAATTGACAAAAGGAAAGTTTAATACTGAGGAGTAACAGAATTGCATGGAAAACTCATCCAGCACATTAATACTGCCTAATTATTGATCAAATGACGTCCAACTTTGGCTAAAACAAATGCTCCAGGAGATGTTATCGATACCTCCAATCAGGTTGGATAGAGTACAGCTTAATTGTGAGTACATTCACTCAGAGCGCATTTTCCCTAGCCGGTATTCAATTTCATTTTTCACAAACATTCAGAAGGATGATGAAACTTTAAATAAAATCTTATCAAGTGAAATTATGCTTTACTACTACATATATTACATAGTAGTATGACAATGTATGACGAAAAACGTTGACATGGCATACAGAGCTAGCCACAATAAGCTCCTCCAATCATACTAACTCTCGGGTTGGTACAGCCAACACATTCACAGAAATGTAAATCCAGACAATAGACGTATTAAACAAATACTATACAAGACCAACAATGATATTCATCTTGTATTCTCTATTTGATAAGTCAGAAAAGAAACTCAGTCACGCATCCTCGTCAATACACTTCTCACAGTCTAGAGACCAGCCTTAAGTGTTAGAAAGATTTCATTTAGACAGAGGAAGACAACTTACCACACTTCGCAGTAGTGTACAAAGAACAAGTGGATAGAAAAAGACCCATATGGAAGTAGACAAAGTTGTGTGAGACAAACAATTTGAAGATAACGGTTGGTGCAAATATTTAAGCTTTAGAAGATGCCAAATAGTGAACCCATCTGCACCATTCTGACAGATTTTCAGCTGTGTCACCAAGAATCAGTCCTCAACCACTGATTCCTTTCGTCTCGTGGACTCTAGTCAGATGATCGACATCTCCTCACACGACCCAGACCAACAGTCAGTGACTCTTCATCGACTGGCCACCTTCGACCGTCTTCCCGCCTAATCCAACATCTCAGCATGGCACGTCAAGGTAGACAGTGAATCGACACGCATAGTACATGGCCAAGCCATCTCACTCAACCTTATCCCTGCCCTGCAGCTTAGTACGCTTCGCCTGACTTCAGCACTGCTCACACGGGGAGTCCAAAGAACCCGAGCGACGCTACTAAGACATATTTGATGGAAAACCTGTAACCACTTCATATCTTCTACGTCTAACGGCCGTGTCCAGCAGCCATATAAAAGGACAGAACGGAATGCAGCCCAGTATACTTGTACTTTAATAGATAGTCGGATACATCGCCAGTAGGTGCTAGATAATGCAAGCTGGCAAATGCTAAACGGACTTTCTGTATCCTCCCTTAAATCTCATCAAAAACCACCTCGTTCGAACTGATGCAACTTTCCAAGTAGGTGAAGTGATCTAAAAATTCCATCATTTCACTCCCTATCATTAAACTGGGAGTGGTTGGAGACCAGTCCTGGAGCATCATGTTACATCTGACAGGTGCTAGCGAAATGCATGCTAAAAATACTCAGATTTCTGCCCCCGAAGCGTTCAGTAGACGCTGCACTTTGTCAGTGTCTTCACCTAACAGCATTCTGTGTCATGAAAGGAAGTCACAACTTTCTACGTTGTCTACCCGTCCTTGATTTTAGTCGAAATCCGACAATGTTGTCAAATAAGCCATAGTTGTTTACCATACCAGTTTGATCAAAGATACAATATTATATACAAATCAACTGCTAAAATACATTGTGATTTTCAATGAAGGTCAAGGGGAGTGTGATCTGTTTGAGACTATTAATAAAAACAAACAAGAAGATCATGAAAAGGGAGTGGATAGCACCAGTTAACAATGGAATCTGGAGTCATGCCAAAGAGCACGGCTCACTAACTTTCCCATTCATGAATAGATGACATTTTCTTTTGTTTATTCCTTCAGAGGGCTAAATTCTCCATCTCTGTCCGCATACTTCAATGTAGATAATGTAAACACAATTTAATCAACTAGAATGCAAATGTAATCCATTCAATTTTGTTGGATAGAATGACAAACACATTCAATATATAATTAAAATTTTATTTAAATATTTATTTGTTAGGGCTTTCAAGTTTTTATTTTCTACCACTTCATCATTGAAAAGTGAAGATGCGAATGGTCTGACCTTAACAAAAATGCATTTCAAGTTGTTATTCATTGTAGACTGACATGAGTTGGAGGAACAAAGGAAACCTGGGAGCACTGGACAGCTGTTTCCTCCTAGTATGGGACTCCTCAGCAGTGCGCACCCACGACCCCACCACCAGGGATCGAATCCGCGACCTTCAGGTTCCGCAGCCAGCGCGTTACCATTGAGCTAGCCACTGGGTCAGAATCCAATGCTCCATATTTCCAACTTCTCTTAGCTCACGATATATAGAGCAACCGCCACCCAATGTCATCGCTGAGTATTTGTCCTCATGGCCATCAGGCTTTGACTCCACCAGTCACGACTTGTCATTGGAACTTCGGGAATACTTCTCGAAGCTAGTCACCAATGAGCACTAGTTCAATTAAATTTTGAGGGGGTTGTGGAGATTTGGAATTATTTCAAGTTGTTATTCATTGTAGACTGACATGAGTTGGAGGAACAAAGGAAACCTGGGAGCACTGGACAGCTGTTTCGTCCTAGTATGGTGAGCTAACAGAAGTTGGAAATATGGAGCATTGGATTCTGACCCAGTGGCTAGCTCAATGGTAACGCGCTGGCCGCGGAACCTGAAGGTCGCGGGTTCGATCCCTGCTGGTGGGGTCGTGGGTGCGCACTGCTGAGGAGTCCCATACTAGGAGGAAACAGCTGTCCAGTGATCCCAGGTTTCCTTTGTTCCTCCAACTCATGTCAGTCTACAATGAATAACAACTTGAAAAAATGCATTTAAAAATCATTTGATTTGAAAGAGATAACATTCTGACACATTTTTAAGCATAATTTGTTTAAATTCACATTCAGAGTATATTTGCAGGAATTTAAAAGAGCAATGTATGAATAGCGCTCAAAATTAGTCAGTATTTAGTTCACACTATATTGCATTATGTTTGTGTGTCAGTTTAGGGAGACTTTAATGGCCACCCTAGTAACAATCGAGATAACCAATTACGTATTTTCGTTTTGGCTGGAAAAGCAGATTTTCATAAAATACAGAAGTTTGATTGGTTATTTCAGTTGTTGCTAGGCTGGCCTTTAAATTCACTCCGCAGTTTATATGTAAAATAAACACATAGCCTTCTCTTTAGATTTCTAGTAGTAAATGCCAAACTGTTTTGTGTGTATGCTTATGATAGAATATTTCTGATTGTCTGTGTTGGATGGATCTACATCTCAGTCAGTGATATTGTTCCTACTGAGACTCCAACTGATTTCAGTCTGTGATGAATACTAATTTGGTAATAATAATACTTATGTAACTCAAAGACCGGGTAAAAATTTATGCACTAATCAGGTTACCAGTTTAGAATTAGTGTGTGATCGTAAGAATATATCAAACTTGTTTATGTTACACTCAATCCACAAACATGTATGGAACTTATGAGGTATACCTATTGGCTGAAGGCACTATAACTGGGATTAACCAGTTACCGACACATGATTACTTGTTATACAGATGGATTTCAATCATGAAGAATCAATGAACTGAATGAAATGCAAAATAAAGCATTACCTTCCTTGAGATTGAAGAAAGGTAAAGTCATGAGTCAATAGAAAGTAGTCAGGGTTCTGCATACCATCAGGCCGACTTGAATGTTGACTTTCACTGGTTGATAACAGGTACTAGTCAAGTATTCCCTTATTCATTGTAGAACTACATATATACGCCTATTGCATATTAGTTTTGTTTATTTGATATAGCATAGAGTAGTGTATTAGTCATGTCTTATATTTTTACACAAAGCTTATCCTATCTCGTTACTGCGTGTATATGATTATCACCAAATCTGTTGATATATTGTCAGCCGCCACCCAAGTGACTCAATGGTAAGGTCTCCGACTTCAACACCGGTAGGAGAAGGGGACATCAGGTCCCGCGAGGCTGCAGATACCCCATGTTGACGAGTGCCACCAAGACCGAAACCTAGGTAGAGGGCTTCCCACCGATTTTAATTTTCTTTACTGAGAACAAGAAAATTCTAAGCGATTGTCAATTAAGCAGAAAATGGTAACAAGAATGAACAGATAGATTATTTCCACTTGTGAGAAGAAAAAACTATTTCTAAACCTTGAGTTGACAGTAGATATTCTCACCGTAACGTTCCGCTAACAAATTATAATGACGCTTGAGAAAGACACTGTCAGCAACAACTCTGTG